TGCCACGTCAATGGTATAGACCATGTCTCGTGGCTCTCTGCCATGTATCTGTGTACATTGAAATGCAAGCTATAATTCATTCATTGCAGATGTTCAGTGTCCCCATTTACTTCACTATTTACCTAGAAGCTATAGAAGTTATTCGCTTCTTCGCGCGAGAATCGTGTAGAACGTGTTCTAGCGCCAAATATCGCGCCATGCTATGGTCGCTATTACCAACTTGTAGCCATCTGCACACGACGAGATAATGATGCGCGAGGTAGTGCGTGGTATAACGCCACATATAGCCCAATTACGCTGCCAGAGCATAGTTGTAGCCATCTGCACTTCTTAAAGACAGCCCCCGCGCTCAAGTAGTACATGGTCGTCCTTCCTTGTGCAAGTAGTGCAGCCACCAAGCTAGAGACTATCCCACTCTCGCAACTCCGCAGCGAGCGATTAGCGAGCTACAGCCGCTGAAAGTGCTAGTTCTAACGCCCGCTCAGTTGGACCCGCCTTGCTTGCTAGATGCCCTCCGACAGAGGGCCGCTCAGTTGTTCTTTGTTGGGGCGGCGGGCATTAATCGGAATCGCATGCCCTTTTCGCTGACCGCATTCGTGCTCATGAACGACTCTGCTCTCTTTTGTTATATTTTATTCATTAGGGGCATATACATTCAACTCAACCCATTTCGCAAGGTGAAACGCGTAAAAATCACGAGCGACGCAATTTTCGTGGTGCAAAAGCTCGACGGCACTTCATTACACTAAAATGTGCGCTACCGTAACCCCCCAAATTTGGACATCGAGTTTAAAATTCCTTTTTCCTTTCATGAGTTTTTCCTCTGCGTTTTTGTTGTTTTCTTTTTGTATTCTTTTTTTGCACTGGATGATATCAACTACTGCGAGATGTGATAGAGAGATTTGTGAGCTAGGGGTTGCACAGAGACCGCAGGGAGGTGTGACTGTGAGGGAGCGATTTTGTTTATGGTGTTCTTGAGGACTCTTCTTGCTTGTTTTCTTCTTTGGAGGATTACTTATCAGCTACTGTTTCATAATTGAAAAGCAACTATCCATGACACTTTTATCGCGGGAGCTGTCTTTAAAGGCAGCGCCCGCGATCAACCAAAGTGAAAAACCCTCCATTGAAAACGAACGCGGAGTCCCGCAATCACAGCAGAAATCCCACTCTTGCGGCTCGAAATCGATTGGTTGACGAGGGCGGAGTCAACAGAGCCGGGCTGACGCCTCCTGTCCTGTTAATCCCGCCCCGACTGGTTGACAGTTATCAATGCTTGCTGGCATTGATATACGCTGAATTTCTAGAGTTCCGAGGCGGCGACGTGTATTGGAGAACTCACCAGAAGTTTGCGAAACTCGTCCACATGCCTTAAATTTCATAGGGTCTTATTTCACGCTCTTCCACACCTTTTTCTTTTTTTTTTGATTAGTGCTTCATTGGCCACCTGTTCTAAGCAAATTGAACCCCTGAAACCAAAGTCCATCGCGGACTGCTGTCTTTAATAGAGCAATGAGGGCGGGTGTACTCCTCTGATACGATCATTACACTGATGTAATCAACAGGTATGTGACGAGTTCTCGCAACTAAAAATAAACTGGCTCCTCTTAATTGATTTGTTAGCAGACGTCCTTATTGAAAAGCTGAAGCACAGAAAGTTGGCATTTATCGGCCCAAAGTAGAACTTAACCATACAAATACAGTAGTTGTGTGATCCGTACGAGTTGTCTCGTTTGGAAGACACTTGAGATGACCAGCCCACCAGCGGCAGTGGTATCATACCAGACTACCACTCAAGTATAGAGACAGTGTTTTGTGAGTTCACTGCGGACGAGGCGCTTTAAGGTTCCCATTAAGTGAGCCTCGGTCACTTGAAGCGGTCTTAAAAAGGCAGAGTGCGGCAATTCTTGTTTATGCCGTAGATTGCTGATCGCTCTATTGGCCTTGTTGTCTTGGATACTGTCAACCCTGTCCACTCGGGTCTGTGCTTCTTCCGAGTGACACGACCACTCCTTGAAATCATTTGAGAACATCCTGACTCAGAAACTGAAGCACCGAGGCGGATGTTAGCTCCTTTGAATAATTCGTTAACTACGAAAATACAGTTGCAGTGATCCGGACGAGTTATCTCCCTAACCATACTTCCTTCTCAATGAGACGTTAGAAATTCCCATAGCTTCTGTGAAATCACTGTTGACGAGGTGCTCTAACATTCCCATTAGGTGAGACCCTTCGAGATATTCACTCGATCACTGAAAGCGGTCTTCAAAAAACAGAATGCGGTCTATAGCAGTTATAAACTGCTTACTTTTAACAAATCGAAGTTATGCATGCTGTAGAAAGTCACTCCATTGGCTCAGTTTGGGATGGCATCAACCCTGTCCACTCAGTTCTATGCTCTTTTCAACTAACATGATCTTTTCTTTATTGATTATTTGGGGACGCGCTAACTGAGAAGCTGGGACGGACCGGAATGTCAGCGACCTTACGTGAACCATCAATCCGGGGATACAGAGTGTAGTGATCCGGACGAGTTATCTCCCTTGGAAAATACATCACATGACCAACCACCCTAATGGCAATGTTACTGCACCATAAGACCGCCGTCCAATAAGAGAGTAATAACTTTCACGATCCAGCTACATTAGAAATCCCTAAGATGTGATAGGAGTGGCAGCGTACTTCAACAAACGTGGTGGTGGATGTGCTTTTGGTGAGGTCTCAAACGAAATATCCCACGAGTCACCCATCCTATCCCGCGTTCAAATGCCACGCCTTCTCCGTCTCAGAGTCAAGGAGTATACCGACGAAGCGCTGTGACCTTTATTAGGTCAGTCCTTTTAAGGTTTCCACTAGATCACTGAAAGCGGTTAGGACAAAATGCAGTCGTCTGAAATCATGGACTTCTTACTACTCAACAAATCGAAGTTGTACATACAGAAGATCGCTCTATTAGAATTACTTAAAAAGATAGCTACCCTTCCCACCAGTTCTATGCTTCTGTTGATATTACTACTGTTATTTCTATAACTGGGTCAGATGACGCGCCCTTTTCTTCATTGATTAGTAAAGGACGCCATCGCTGAGAAGCTGGAGCACGGTAGTGGATGTTAAGAGCATTACGTACGCCGTCAACCACGAAAATCCAGCAGTTTGGTGATCTGGACGAATCTCGTTTGGAAGGCGCATGATGCGACCAGTGGCAATGTTATCGTACCAGGCTGCCTTGCAATCACGTAGTAATAACCTTCTTGGGTTCAGTGGCGTCGAAGCGCTCTAACGTTCCTACAATTCAGTTAGCTCACACGAACTCAGAAAAAGGTCTTCAAAGGGCAAAATGCTGACAACATTCCACAGAAAACTATGCTCGCTATAACCCAGTGTTAGCCATCTACGCATCTCGAAATAAGGATCTGATATGCAGTGTGAGGTGAGGCGCCACATATAGCCCGGCGTTACGCTGCTGGAATATAGTTGTAGCCGTCTCTGCGCCTCAATGTGGGCTCAGCGATGGGGAGGGCTATCTCCTCTAGGACGATCATATCGCTGATTCATAACAGGTTATGCGCGCGTTCTTTAGATAGAACAACTAAAATACTGCCTTTTTCAGCTGATTATTTGGAGACGTACTGATTGAAAAGCGAAAGCACAGGAGCTGACACTAACGGCTTGAAGTAGACCCAAATCAAAAATACGGTAGTTGAGTGATCCGGACGAGTTGCCTCATTCGGTATACACGTGAAATAACCGCCACAACGTTATCATACCAGCTCGACCGCCTCAGTATAGACAGTGTTTTGAGAGTTCACTGCTGACGAGTCTAACCTTCTCATTCGGTGGGCCCTGACAGGTTCACCCGATCCCTGGCCTCTGAAAGGTTCACCCGATCACTGAAAACGGTCTAATATTTCTGTTCTGGTCAAGTGACGTGACTTTTTCTTCACTGATGCCCTCACTAAGAAGCTGAAGCGCGGAAGTGGATGTCAACGACATTGCATAGGCGAAGAAAATCCAACAGTCAGTGATCCGGACGAGTTATCCCGTTTGAGAGAAAGTGAGATGACCAGCCACGCCAATGGAATCTTATCATACCAGACTACCGCCCAAGTGTAGAGACAGTATTTTATAAGTTCACTGCCGACGAGGCGCTCTATCGTTCTCATTAGGTGACCACCCTGATATATGTAGTCCAGTGATCCGGACGAGTTATCTCGAATCTACACCTCTTCGCAAACCCTCTTGTTTGCATGGATACTGTAATTGTATAATAGCCAGCACCTCGATGACAAATTTAATCTCATTTATTTGACTTTCACTCGAGGATGGCGCACCCCAAAACAAACGAACAAACAAACAAAGCTGCAGCTTATGTATGCCACTCCTGCGAGTTTGAAGTTCAAATTGAAAACAAAAAGAATAACGAATAAAAAAGCCTAAGGCGAGTTGCCGCTACGGCGTAACGTCCACTGTAATCAATGAGAAGTTCTAAACAGTAGAAGAGTAGAGGCTAACAAAAAAAAATAGCTATTTGACCGGTTGGAAGCTATTCTCGGAGCAACTTCACTCGTAAATCCGAAGACGACACGGGAGGAAAGATGGACGAGAAGAAAGATGGGATAAAACTCTAGCAAGGGGAGATATAGAAAACTGATGAAGAAGTCTGCTAAGAATGATGCTGAAGACAATAAAGTGGAAAAAAATTGGAAAAAAAAACAATACCAACACATAATGACTGATAAAGACAGAACTTGCGCAAAGATCAACAGACGGCGGATGCGATGGATGAAATGCTCGAAAGTTGTACAATGTTGGACGACATCGAAGTTGGATCATGGAACTGGTAGTATTTTTTTTGGTAACATTGGCAAAATAGTCGGCCAACAATAGATGAAGTATTGGTTGAATTGTTGGAAGACATTACAGACAACCGAAGACGGACAGGTACACTGAGTGAGGATCATACAACAACAGTTACAGCTTTCGTTAAAAGGAACACGGAAAAATCACATCTGGCCCTCTTCGGCCAACACATCTTCAATTGATCTGCCTTCCTCCTTAGCGCGCAGATATGTCTGATAGTGTGGAGATTCCTGAAAACAGAACAGTTGAAAAGACAAGTGTGCTTATCGGTCCCCTTGTAAGCTTCAAATACTGCTTGAACTATTCGTTTCAATTACTGCTATTTTTGCTTACTATTTTTTCACCGCAATATGCCACCCGAAAGCTACTGCGAATACGCTGTGCTATGGGCAGAATTTGAGCCCTAGCAAGGACACAATAATATGAATTTGGAGCGGTAAAGGCAGTACGGTGGAAGGTGGCCCTGGTGGTAATGGATGGCGCACCAGCAGGGTAAGCAAGAGGTGCAGATATAAGATAGGCCCAGGTTTCCGCTCATTCACCATCTCTTTAATATAAATGGTCAATTATTCAAGTTGTAAAGGGTTAACCACGAACTTAGACTTGAAGTTATATTCAAGAGAAGACAACAAAAGATGGCCTCCTGTTGTCAAAGGTGGCGAGCTACGATTGATACAGGGGGAGAGGGCAAAACTAAAGAACCTCTGAGTCGGAGAGCACCGTAGAAGGTCGAAACAATCTATGCAGTCACCTCCGAGGACCGTTTTTCCCACCCATGGCGAGGTGATGGGTCCTCAGCTGCAGTAGCATGCCACCTTCTTCATTCAAAAGTTCACGGGAACGGGAGTGGAGGGTAGTGATGTCCGGGCGCCGTCTCCCTACTTCGCCAGCGCTGTCTTCAAGATGCAGCACTTGCGCTGATGCCAAAATTTCGCGGCGAACACGCACTCGAAGAAAGATAACAATCAGAAGCATTGGGCACAGACAAGCAGCGCGAGTTATGGCTAGACATATGGCTACGGGGCGGCAGCACGGAGTGGAGTTGCAGAATGCACCAAGCCTGTTCCTGTCCATATTTGAGCAGAGAAGGTGGCACACTACTGCATGTGCGGTCCATTTACCTCGCATATGGCAAAGGACTAGGATCCGCGGAAGTGAGTGTATAGTTTGTCTTCTAAAATAAGGGGGATGACTGGGTGAGAAACTCACTTCAGAAAACTCCTTTTAAGCTTGTTACATTTACAATCGATTAGCCGACGATGGTGGAAAGGAATACACGCCTGCATCCATCAAGGGGTAAGCCAGAGATAAAATTCCTGGACCACGTCTGGCGTCTTCAAATATCAGAGAAACTGCCTCCAAGGCTGCCCAAATAACCAGAGGGCTGGCGTCTTGAGGTATCACAGGGACTGTCTGCGGCCTGCACTCAAATCCAGTGGCTCATCCGTAGAAGTGTCGCAGCTGCTTCAGGATTAAGCAACTACTGTGGGTCCATAATTCTTTCTCAGGTTCTTCCTCTAGTCTTCTAGTACCCTAATCCCGTGTGGATATGAACTTTGATGATGCGCGTAAGGAACAATGTGTAACCTCCTCCTCCTGGATAAACGGGTCCCTAGTAGAGGAAAACCCTGCTTGGCACAGCTTTTGAGATACCAAGTTCGTTGAGAACATATTTTCTAAGAGCAATGGGTCAGAAAAAAAAGCCGGGTGAGGCTGATGTTTCAACAAACGTTAGAAATAGAAGAGAGAGTTTCAAAGAAATACCTTGAAAATCCTCATTTTTCTTTGAATACCCCGTGCATTTTCCTTGTAGATATTCCTTTTATCGGCTGCCATTGCCTAAACAAAGATACAATATAAAGGAAAAAAATCACATGATAGAAGGTCTAAATAATCAGATGATATGAAGAAATTCACTTACCGCATAGTTCTCCCCATGTGAGTCCAACAATCCAGAACAGAAGATGATATCCTTAGGGAGCAGTTTGTAAACTCGTTCGCGATTCGAGGGGGTCTAAATGGACAACATCAGAGTGCAACGAAAATGTCTCTTGAACACATGTAAGGATAAATAATTATTTACGTTTTTGTCCTATTTTGAATATAAAAAAAGGAAGTCTCAAAAGCTTCATCACACTATTTCATTCAATTCCATTATATTCCAGCTTTCAGCTCGTCATTATAGGTACTACTACGAATCATCCACTTCTTTTATCATCCGTTATCACTCACTAAATACCTGAAGACAGTCATCGACATGGCGCTATGATCAGGGCGCACCCCCTCCCCCGTAGGTGAAATTTTTCACGAAGTGCTACCTCCCCCAAATTTTCCTTCTCTGGTACGGCCCCCATTCCCCACCTACCATACTATCTAACACACTCTTGGACTCTCCCGATTTTGACCAATTTTCCCAAGAAACTACCATCGAGCAGGTGGGGAGCGGAGGGGGGGGGGGTGAACATAGCGCATACGATACCGCATGAAAAGCCGAAGTGAACAGCGAAAACAGATATCACAGAGACAAAGGGAAGAACCTCCTCTCTCCGGGGACCAAATAGGGCCTCCTCGCTGGGATGCCCAACGTACGACGTCTATTAGGGCAACTTATTGAAACTGTAGATAAAATATGGTAGAATGCGCAAAATTCGGGTAGAAATGAGGAAAAAAGAATTCGGCGCGAAACTGTATATGCGCTTGGAAGGTTCCTTTATGGTTCCAAAATCAAAATACTTCGCAAAACGAAAGGCAACTACCAAAGTTACAATACTGTCTACTTTCCATCATAAACTTTCACAGAAATCTGCCAGCGCTGGGGATCCCCAACGTTCGATAAGCCCGGAAGCTCACACCCATATTATTGTCACCCCAGGAAAAAGAAGTTTGCGCCCCTGTTTGCAAAAAGGTGTATACATAAAGGTCAGCTGTAATTGGCTAACACATGTACCCCACCAATCACGGCTACGTTTCGATAATAATTCTAAAACAATCTACCGCTTTTTTGCCAGAGTTTACGATAAAAAAGAATTCCACATTCCGGACTGATCTACTTCTATCTACTTCTACAGTGCAAGAAAGTATGTGTAACAGGACATGGGAAGAAAACACTTCTAAACATTTCTAATGAAACATGTAAATAAAAAAGCAGGATGCATAACACTGGAATCTCCGTTCACAAACCGTAGGTCTCGAGTAGTGCAGTTCAATAGGGAGTGGGGTGATGTGGATCTTATGCTCGGTTGGTTCCGGCTTCCTCTCGGCAAGTTGGGCGAGTTGATGATCGATCGTCACCTTCTGCACACAAAAAACGACTCTAACTATAGAAACTACTCGAGACCTACG